ATGATCAAATAATAGCAATTAGAGTTCACAGACAACCCTTTAATATGACAATTATCCAAGTTTATTCTCTAACTCCCGATGCAGAAGAAGAGGTTAATGAGTTTTACGATTGAAACTGACAGAATATGCTGCTTGTGGTTGGAGACTGGAACGCCAAAGTTGGAAATATTAAGGAGGGAAAAATATTTGGACCATATGACCTAGGAAATCGAAATGAAGCAGGACAAGAACTTATCCACTTCTGCCAATCCAATGATTGCTAACACAGTCTTCAAACAACAAAATAATGCCTATGTTCACACTGGATAATTAAGAAAGCCAAAGAATACCCAAAATATGTCAAAATATGTTTTGTTATGTTATAGAAAGGCCTCAGATTGTGTCAATCATGGCAAGCTTGTGGAATGTTATTAGAAAAATGGGAATCCCCAAACATGTCATTGTTCTCATGTGAAACCTGTACATAAGCCAGGAAGCCACAGCATGAACAGAAGATGATGAAACAGACTGGCTCCAGGTCAGCAAAGGAGTAAGACGAGGTTGTGAACTCTCCTCTTATTTATTCAACCTCTATGCTGAAGATATATTGAGGGAAATGGGACTGGAAGAAGATGAGTATGACTTTCAAACTGGAGGAAGAAACCTCAATAATCTGTGCTGTGTTGATGACACTACTCTGATTACTGAAAATGCACATGATTTGCAAACTCTAACATTGAAATTCAAGGAGCACAGTGAAAAAATGGGACTAAGATTAAATATAAAGAAGACCAAACTAAGAACAACAGGAACGGCAATCAGCCTTAGAATAGACAATGAAGATACCGAAGGAGTAGACAGCTTTTGCTTTTTAGGAGAAGGAACTAGCAGTCAAGACATATGCTGTAGATTAGCACTTGGACAGTAGCAATGAAGCCCCCCCCCCAAAAAAGAACAAAGGAGTCATCTATCAAATCAACCCAGGGTTCTCACTTGAGTCACAAATGACCAGGCTCAATTTATCATACTTTGGGCATATTATGCAAAGACATAGCTCTCTGGAGAAGTCTCTATATTGCTAGGAAAGGTAGAAGGAAAGAGAGGAAGGGAACAACCAGCAGCAAGCTTACAATTACAGTTACAGAAGCAATGGGTGCACTGATGGAAGACCTGAAGGATCAAGTTAAGGATAGATCATCTTGGGAAAAAAATCTATGTATGTGGTTACTAGGAGTTGAGTTGATGGCACATAATCAATCAGTCAATCAATCAATCAATCAATCAATCATTTTCTGCTGACTCAGGATGGGTGATTAGCACTATTACTTGAGAGACCCTCAGTGAAGCTCCCATTCCCACATAAACATTTCTGACAATCAAAGCCAGGACTTGTGGACAAGGGTTTTGGGCCATCCCTGTAATAATAGTTTACTTTGTGTAGATGGTATAGTGGAATGTTTCTTCAGAAGTGAGCTAAATGTAGCTGAACTTTCCTAACTTTATGTCTACTGTTTTAAGAAACAAATACAGATTGAATATAAACAAAGGAACTAATTGGTTCCTTGGATGAATACAAGACCCGTGCTGCTGAAAGAGAAAGGGCCTCCCCCTACTGCTGAGTTAGTGATATCTACCCATCCTTCAGTCAGCAGAAAGCCACACCAGTATGAATTTTGCTGCTGCTGTCACAAGCACCGCTTTTATTTAGAATTTTTCTCCCCTTCTTTATAATGACAAGAAATGCAACTTCCTCCTGATTCCTCTGTGCTGGGTTAGGGAGACCATCGGTGTGGGGCTGGGGGGTGAAACAAGCCTGACCAGGATCCAGAAAGGATTACACCTATTCTAATCCCATCCGCTGATCACCTGACTTTGCTTCTGAATGATGGACGGTGCAGCAGAATCACAGTTTTTACACATGTTGAGGCTGTCCTTAGATGGC